TTTGTGAGTCACCCAGATAATTTTAATTAAATTATATTTATAAACTCGGTAATTAGCCGAAATATAGATTTTTAGTTAAAAAGAAGAAGGCGCTAGTGTTCTCGAAGGTCCGTCTGCAATCAGAATTAATATGAACGTTTTAAAAATTATTTTATACTGAAATAAATAAATATACAAGCTAATAAGCCTGTAGCTATAAGCGATAGTTGCTAATTAAGTTTGTAAAGATGTACCAGCTGTGCAGGGTGAAGAGCAGGTTATCTCAAACGCCCTGCCACAACCCAATTAAGGTATTCCTTTCACGGAGGAGCGTATTTTGTAGGCGCTTAAGCAGGACCTCAGCAAACTCTTGTATATTGCATTAAACTTATATAAAATCAAGTTATAATTGATTATTATGTTTAATTATAAAAAAAAAGTGAAAATATTATGTGTATTTAGAAATTTTTCATTTTTCGGTAAATTTTATTGTCAGAACAATATGGCAACGCTGCGCTTTTCAAGGCGCCGATTGTAAAATGTGAAGTTGATAACAAAAGTGTCAATGTAAGTGTCAATTTCATTAATCAAAGAATATTGTGACATTTTCTTTTTATCAAAGAGAGATTTTATAATAATAATGAGTGATAAGAAACATAAAATGAGGAGTAATGTGGGCAAAAATAAGGGACAATTTGTGAAAATAAAAGTTGATAATAAATCGTACATGATGAACTGAAGTGTGACATGAGCGCAAAGCTTGCAGCGTTGCCAATAATTTCTTGAAAGTCGCCATTAAAAATATTCATCTATAAACCACTTTTCAAGTCAACTTTTAACATAAATATTTTGTTTAAATATTCGGTGACTCTGTATTTTTATCGGCACTATCGAAACTATAGAGTTTAGCGAATTTGTAGCGCAGTTAATATTTAATATCTCAAGATATTTGATAAACAAATTATTACATTGAAATGTGAAAAATAGACTTTTTCGATAACGTCACTGAACGGGGATAGTTTCGCCCCGGAGGCAAGATTTGCGATACTCGAAGGACCAGAGGGGGGTTGTTGCTTTCCCCTCACGACTATCAAATGTTTAACGCGAAAGCAGAAACGCATGCAACAAAATATTAAGCGAAGCGACTCACCGTATCGGCCGTCGTCCCCGTGGTTCCGTCACTCCTCGTCCTGTCCCTTGAACTTGGCCGCTCCGTGGGTCTCGTTCGGCATGCGATGGCAAAACTCGTGCAAGCAAGCAAAACGGTGGAGAGCAAGCGATAGAGCAGGGAGGAGAAGGCAGTTGGAGACGTGCGCACTCCCGGTTGAGCAAGGCGGCAAAGGCGATTTCGAGATGCGTTCTGCCCGGCGAACGTGTGCCGTAAGACGGCTCTTAGAATATGTGTGTGTGTGTGTGCCGCACGGCGGCTTGACGAAAAGTTCTGCTGAGAGGTGTGTCCTCTCCGACTATTTGACGATGAATGTCTTCTCCCCGCGGTCCTGGAACATGTCGCTGCGGGCGAGTAGTTGTTCCCTTTCCGGGGGGGTGGATACCGTCGGCGGATGGGCGATGGCAGCACCAACAGGTGAGTCGCATGATTTGGCTGATCGCGATCCGCCGACGTTTCGCGCGAGAGTTACGAACGACTTATGCAACTAAGTATAAACGATACATGAATACATGAACATGAAGTAACTACACTATTTACAAGGCGATACGCCGAACAGTCACATATAAAATATCGAATTTTCAAAGTCATAATTCTTCTTTATATGTTCGGTAATGTGGTTTTAGTTATTTGTGTAACAAGTGCGGGAAGTTGAGAATTGGACACGAGTGCGGAGTGGACGCACGAGCCGAAGGCGAGTGCGATCACCCGCACGAGTGTCCAATTCTCAAACCGCACGTGTTACACACCCTATTTTATATTACAAAGTGCGTGGAAAGTGGCCTATTACGCGCGCGTCATCTGTGCGACGGATGGCCGATTCCGCATGCGCGAGAGATTTCTCACTCGAGGCCGTGCGGGAATGAAATATTCAAAGTGATTTGAAAAGCTCTCAACGTGATTTAAAAAGCTTTCTACATCCATCGTCATTAAGTAGACGCACGCAACGTAAAGTTTCATGAAGATGAGCTAGTTAGACTTAGCTAACTAAGACTTAGCTCAGCTTCAGTTTTGCCGTTTGCTATGACAGAACCCTCCTGCTGATGTTCCCCATCAAGCTTCACGTTCTCTTCCTCCGCCTGAGTCTCCATTCGCGCAAAGATCACGTTGATCATCTGCGTGAGAGTCGCACAGGCTGTTGTTTGATTCACCAGGTTGCCCGACGACAAGTAAACGTTGTAAACAGTACGAATTGTTAACAGTACCGTACCCTCGTATACCTCCACATGCTGGCTTGTCATTACAGTCAGCAGAGCTTTAATAATCTGCAGCTGCACACTCTCATTGGTCTGTGGACCGGTGAAGCAACCGCAAATTGTCTCGACAATGCGCACAATCAGCAGCTTGTTAGGCTCCGTTGAATCAGACACATTGCCAGTGAGATGGCTATATGCGATTAACTTCTGCAGGCAGTCCAGTGCTGTGTCACCACAATCCGTAGTGACTAGCTCTGACATGCTGACTCAAATGGCAAAAAGTACTTCTCAGCGGTAATGACATTTGAGTCGCTCTTAATTGGGCTGTGGCCCAATTAAGGGCGTTTGAGATAACATACCTCTTTACCCTGCACAGCTGGTGTACATCTTTGATCTCGTTACGTCCTCAGCGGAGGTCCTCTGCAAGATGGAAATATGAGTGACAAACTTAATTAGCAACTATCGCTTATAGCTACAGGCTTATTAGCCTGTATATTTATTTATTTCAGTATAAAATAATTTTTAAAACGTTCATATTAATTCTGATTGCAGACGGACCTTCGTGAACACTAGCGCCTTCTTCTTTTAACATGAATAACTAAAAATCTATATTTCAGCTAATTACCGAGTTTATAAATATTTAATTAAAATTATCTGGGTGACTCACAAACCTTTTTAATCACAC